AGGATGATACACAAAGAGTTGTAATTAGTTTTTTACCCCGGAGTCTGCTTTTTTTGGTGGTTTTTTTTCTGAAGGATTTTAGTATTCTAAGGTCCTTGAATGAGGATGAGCCACCCCTAGTGGATATTTATTACAATGAAAAAATTTCTGGAAAGAAAAGTTACCAGTATCCCATTTTCTGGATGTGTTGGTGGATGTCCGTATGTGAGCAAAGGGTTGCCCAGCTATTTGTGTCTTGGTAGACCATCTAGTTGAGCTCGTGTGATGAACATCCAGAGCTGAATTTGCATGTCAAACCCTCGGTTATTACTATTATTAACCCAAAGTCTCCAAGTATGAAATGCCTTCATTTACTGTTAAAAAAATTGAAGACATTGTCAACTACATCATCCACAGGGCTTTATGTAAAGTCTATTATATGAAACCTTAACTTCCGGCTGGGGACTGGCTTTCCCGTGGAGAGCCTGGGTTACTTCCTCTTCCCCTGGTGAAAGCGTGAAAGCACTGTGACTGTGCGGTGACTTGGAGGTGACTCATGCTGCCCCCTGGTCTTCCTGCCAGAAAACCTGCTACAGCAAATCTGTTACCCACCGTGTTACCACATTTGCATTTTCCTCTTTTCCTTGGCTGGAGTTTTCTGTTTTCATTTTATGAACCTCATTATTGTCTCTTTTGTAAAGGACTTAGAATTCTTTTGAGAAAGAAGCAGGCTACAAAAATAATCTCATTAATAAGTAGATAAAACACAAGTTTCAAAGTAGCCAGTGTATGGCAAAATGATAATAGCACAGCCTTTAGGCTTAGACCTGGCCAAAGCTGCGTGTGAGGCCCAGTGCCACGATTCACTAGCATTGTGGCTTTGGGGATTTGGGCATTTAACCTCTCTAAGCTTCGGTTTACTCCTCTGTAACGTGGGCTTAATACTACGTGGGTCATAGGGTTTCTTCAAGGATTAAATGAGGTGCCTAATTAGAAAATTATAAATGTTTAATTAAAAAATATGATCATGGTGAAGAGTAACTCCTATCACTTGCAAACATGTAACTACTTTCTCAGTTTTTGTTGGGGGTGCATTGTATTTTCTACTTTGCTGGTACCTTCACACAGCATGAGGAATTGCAAGAGCTGGTATGACTTCCAGTTGTTCATTCCCATGTCACAGCGAGGAGCCCTCCAGCTTTCTTGCTGGAGCACGTCTGAACCGCACGGCCCCAAACGCAAAGCTCAGTGCCGAGTGGGCATGGTTCTGCCTGAGCCGTGACGGGATGGTAACTCCACACGGAGTAGCGTTGTGATTGTTCCCATCTACAGTACATACATTTAGTTCTCAATTATCCATGGTGATGGGGGCGGGGGGAAATATGACGTAAGTATAAATCAGTGATAATCTGTGGACTATCGCCACCCCTCACACATCCACCTGCTTTTCATTTTCATGCTTCTTCCTTCCCACGGCCACTGCCCTGGGACAATCGCCATCATCTCTTCATCTGGACCCCTTCAGAGGTCTGGTCATGGATTTCCCCACTCCAGCTCTCTTCTCCGTCCTCGCTTCCTACAACATTCTTTCTTGGAAGTAGAGATCTTTCGTGTTGTTTCCCTGGTTGAAAAACTTTCCATGGCTCCCTGCTGAAATGAAGCCTGCGCTGCTCGGCATGACATATAAATAACACCCCACAAAGTACATTTCTAATCTCATCTCCTGCCCTCACACACACATGCACACACACACACTCATACACACACACACGGGGGGGCAGTCTAACATCTTGAACAAGTTTTCTGTATAAAGTTGTTCATAATATCCTCTTATTTTCTCCCCCCTTCACCTTTTTATTTTGAAAATTCCACTTCTACAGAAAAAAAAGAAATGAATGTCCTCAGCTAGATTGATTTGCCACATTTGTCCCACCTTTCTCTTTTTCATTTTGTCTGAAGTGTTGGAAGTTGCGGGCCCCATGAGCCTGCATCCCTCCAGGGCTCCTCATGGATATTCTCCTGCAACCACGATACTGTTGTCATGCCTGTAAAACCTGACAATTCCTGGATATCATGTTCTGACATATTCAGATTTCCCCAATTTTCCCAGCCGTGTGTCCTCCCCTCCCCCCACCCAGGATTCATTCAAGGTGCACACATTGTGCCTCTTTAGTCTCTCTTCATATGGAATAATTTGCCCCCACACCGCTCCCCCGATACTTTTTGAAGTGTCCAGGCTAGTTGTCTTTAGCACACATTATGGGTTGGTCAGATCATTTGTGTTCCTCTAACCTCTGTATTTCCTATAAACGAGAAGTCGGTTCTAGTGGTCTCTGTCTCTCTGTTTCTTGTAAAACAAGGACTGAGGTGGATTTCTCCTCCCTTCCTTTTCCCTGCTCACCTTTAGCAAGAGGGGTGGGGGTGAGCAAGTAGGAAGCGCTGAGTGCCACAGCCGGGGCCGCTCCACCCATTCATTCTTTCAGTAAATGTTCTTGGAGCCCCTGCTCTGCCCCATGCAGGCACTGTTTTCAGTGCTGGGAAAACTGCACTGGAGAAGCAGGCTGGGAGCCTGCCCCATCTGCTTCCATTCTGTTGGGGAGCTGACCATGAATGAACCAGCGTTTAATGCAATGTCAGTCCTGAGAAGAAAAATAAGAGGGTAGAGTGAGAGGAGTGGGCAGAGGGCTGCTCTTTTCAATAGGGTGGTTGGCGAAGACCTGTCTGGGGAGGTCACATTTGTGTAGAGATCTAGAAAAAAGAGAGAGCTGGATAGAGAGTGAGAGAAAGAGCTGGAGAGAGGGAGAAGAGAGAGCTGGAGAGACAGAGAGCTGGAGATGGGGAGAGAGGGAGAAGAGAGAAGTGAAGAGTGAGAGCTGGAGCAAGCCGCTGAGGGCTGGGGGTGGGTGGGGGGGCAGCCCCAGCCGGTTTGGGAGTCCCCGGCATGGGGGTTCCTGTGTCCCAGTAGCCCATCATCAGAGCGTGGGGGGTGCGGGGGCGGGCGGCCCCCCGCAGGGCTCCTCCCCCAGAGCTTGGTGTGTGCTTATGGGTCGCACTGGGAGGCCTTTTCCAGTACCAAGTTCCCTCAGTTACACAGCACCATTTTAATGGCTTACCAGTTAAACACAGCTTTTTTTAGAGAGTGGGAGTGTGTGGGGGCGTGGGGGGTGGGATGGGGGGGACTGGTGAAAAAAGAACTCATCTGTTTGTTTACAGATCAACTCTAAACCCATCTCCCTTGTTTACAAGTCTTTAAAACCCATCTCCATGTCAGAAACTTTAGCATATGAAAAAAATGTGCTGTTTTGAATCAAAGAAGTACTTGCTTCCCCTTTATTTTGGGAACTACAGCTCGCTAGTTTCAGAAAGAGGTGTGACTGTCCTTTAGAGGCTTCAGACGTCAACTCATGAAATGATAAACAAGTGGAAGTTTGCAGACCAACTGGAAGCCTGCAGAACAAAACAGAGATGAGCTGTGGCAACAATGCCTGTGGGTGACAGTTCAGAGAGGAGTTCTTGAGAAGTCTTACAACAAATCCTCCCCAGCAGTATTCCCTGATTTCCCCCCCACCCCCCCTTCCCCAAACTCTAGATCATCTTTCCTTCCTCTAAGGTTCCAGGCAGTGGTCCCCAAAGGGCGGTGCTTCAGAATGACACAAATCATATGGGAGCACCCTGCCCACACTGGGCCGCAAGAGAATTTCCTGGAATGTGTCCAGGGAATCTGTCTGTTGAGTCTGGATGATTCTGGTGTTGCTTGAGGTGTGGGAACCACTGCCCTACAGGGCCTTCTAATGGAGAGCCTAAGAGATTTTGCTTTGTTTTTAATGTGTAGATTTGACCATGAGGCTATACTGTAAGGCAAGATTCATTACCGATTTCAATTTTTAAAATCATCTTTTTAGCCCCAGAGTGCTTTGTGTGGTGCTCTACACATCCTAGTATTAACTGAATAAATGAATCAGAGTTTCGCCTTTAGAAGCATGGTTATGTCATTCTGCGCTGGTCAAGCACAAGCCCGCTTCTGTCCACGGTTCTTCCTCCAAAGTCTTACGTACAATGGTGACTTGTGATACCATCATTTGTGCCTCTAGCTCTGCAGTCTCTCCTGGTTTCCACACTCACATATCTTACTAGGAAGCCTGCTGGATTTGATCATTTGGATGTTCCTACAAGCATCTTTTCTCCCATTCCTGGCTCCTCTTTTATTTCCAGTCTTGGTGAAAGCCACATTCAGTTGGAGCTTTGTTCTGTGCATTCTAACTCCCGGTCATGCTTGCCTTTGATGCCTCCACCCCTTTCGCTTTGCCTTGCACATTGTGTCATTTGTCTTCAGGGTAAGAAAACTCCTCAGCGTTGCACCAGAGGTGTGCCTCTCTCTCCAGCCCTACTCCTGGCCTTCCCTACCGGCTCCTTGACTCAAGGCTTTCACGTTGTAGAACTAGTTTCCTGAAGGGATCAGCTTGAACTAGTTCCCTCAGGGGTGAGATTGAACTAGTTGCCTGAAGGGGCCATATTATCTGAGGGCCAGTACTTCGAACCTATGTGAAGTTCCTTCTTCCTGGAAGCCCTTTACTGACTTTACCACCTGCCTGGCATCCCTCCCGTTTTGACTCACCAGAGCATTTCCTTCAGGACGCTTGCCCTGACCGCTTCCTTTTCTTCTTGCCTGAGTTAGATGTCCTTTCCTAGATCCACTGCATCCTCTATCATTGATTGGTCACATTGTACTGTACTATTAATCGACACATCTTTGCCACAAGAAGATGAGCATCTTTAGAGCAGGAATTATGTCTTGCTGACATAAAATTGATGTTCAATAAATAGTTTTTGAGTGAATGAATGCACAAATGAATGATGAAGCAAGCTGGTTTGTGAACAGTATCCACATTTGAGTGTGTTAAACTATCTATGATAAAGAATAAAGTATATTCTTTTTACTCTTCGTTAATTGGAGGAATTTTGATGACTTGAAGCCAGTTCTCGAATAGTAAAACAATGTCATTGCTCTTATATTCCAACAGGAAATATGGGATGTATAAAATCAAAAAGGAAAGACAATCTGAATGACGATGGAATAGATTTGAAGACTCAACCAGTACGTAATACTGACCGAACTATTTATGTGAGAGATCCAACGTCCAATAAACAGCAAAGGCCCGTAAGTAGATAGTCTCAGGGGAGAATTCCCACAGCAGGATCAAAGCATGGCTGCGTGATTTAAACACCAAATCTGTAACATGTGCATGCAAAAAGTCACATCAATTACTTGGGCCTCAAATAATTTTTGGTATGATTTGTAACTTAATCCTTTAAAGATCTTCTAAATTTTAGGGATAACCAGGCCACTTATTGTACAGTATAGCGGCCTTTGGTCACCTTCTTGTGTGTGGAGAAAATCGCCTTTCATATTACTGGAGTGAAGACCCACTCTTTATATGAGGATCTATCTGTCTCTCCGAGCTCGGGTGACATAGGACAGGTCGTGAGATTAGTGCAGTGGTCTGGAAGCAGAAGGAAATGCTGGAGTCAAGTCAGAAGCTAAAATAAGTAATAGCTAAAATGTCCTTTGGCATATCGTACTTTATCCAATCTTATCACTCTTTAATTAATTCCCAATAGTACAGATACTGAAGTTGTCATGACTTATTCTAGAAAATTAAAAGATTAAGAAAAAACATAGCTAAAAAACTGCCCCCAACCTTGGACAAATATCTGTACCAGAAATTTTATGTGAATTATGTGCTGTTCAATGCATTTCGGAAATGCTTGGCAAAGGAAGAACTCTTACCACATTTCGTGGAAAAAAGAAGCAGACTTTGGATAATTACAACATTAAATGCACTTTATTTCAGATCTTATATCCTTTCCATCTACTCTCTCACTATCTTACACCATATATATATATATATCTTCCCATAGCCTGGTTTTTATGGAATTCCTCAGCATTTAAGCTGGAAACAACTTATTTTGGGTTAGCCCAAATGCCTTTATTAAGAATTTTCAGAGTTTCTCTAGTTTGACATGTTTTTAAATGCCTTGGCCTTCTCTAACTGTGTTATGTTACCAAGCCCTTCTGCCAGGCCCCTCCCCCATGGACCCCATTATCCTGCAGGTATGACATATGTCAGTATTATGTATCATTGTTGAAATTTATAAATCACCATTGGCCTTCTTAAAAAGAAGTGGAGATGAAGAGTGAATACAGCATGCTGTTAATTATCATACATGATGTTTCTAGATAGATAAATTAACATTGTAATTTTATATATAGAAACTCAAAATATATGTTATTAATAGCTTTACTAATTTAGTGATAATAAATACATATAATAATTAAAAACATTATAAATAGATATAGGTATAAAATTATATAAATATGATTAATGAAAATAAAATGATGTAAGGAATTGGAGACACAAATAGTTTTGTTGTTATGGACTTCAAAGATCCCATAAAAAGATTCCGACTTTTGCTGGTATCACATATACCAGATTTTACTTGCTTTAAAACCTAAGTTTTCTTTTGTTTTTGAATGATTAACGAAGATGTCCTTTATTCAGAAAAGCAAAGGGAAATAGTACAAACTTACACATGATTTTTCCTCTTATTTAGAGTAAAAGAGGCTAAAAATTAAGTTAGAAAGCAGAAGTAGTCAACATGTTAGAAATCGTTCAATTCCCTCATGTATACCATAAAGTATTTTAGTCTGTGCCTTCTGTGGGCACCAGTGCCCTTGTTTCGTGAGCCAGTTGGTTTGGCTTTATCCTGTGGCTATAGATAACGCTCTCAGCTCCGGCCAGATGTGCCAAAATGCGCGCCCTGGATTGATTCCAGAGATGTGATGAGACAGTGAGGCTGAATGGTTGCAAACTCAACAACCCTCTAAGGAAAAGACATTACAAAGAAAAATGGTAGATGAATTGCACATGTGTGTTTTGGTCTTATAAAAAGTGTATTAAAACATTTATAAATTAAGGACTCTGATATTTGAAAATCAGCTTGGTGCTTTTAGAATGATTTAATTAGTTTCTCATCTTCTAATTATTTCCTCTAAATCATTTAAAATTGATCATACCTCCTAATTATGCAAATCTAAATGATTTTAAAAATCAGTATAAAACTTCTTGAAATAACTATTGAAGGATAATATGGACCCATGAGTTTCCAATGCCAGAAAATATAGTAATCTTCCCAGCCCCAACCTTGCAATTAGGGGTTTTGTAGGCTGACTTTCATCAGAAATTTAAATTTCAGTGCAAACTATTTTAGTCCCACTCCATTAAGTCACTGTAATCAAAGAGAAAAGTTGCTAGATTTGTGGGTATAGGCCTCTGACAGGACATTCCTTAAAAGGGGCCCAAGAGGCCTTGTACGTCCTCCCCTTCGTCACTGAGAAAAAAGGGAATTTGATCTAAAAGGTCATTGAGGTGACCTTTTGTGCCACCAGACCCTTCCTGATAATTCACCTCCCAACTAAAAGAACACGGGATGGCATCTGTCCCCATGATGGGATCAGGGTCAGCCACAGAAAGCCCGGATTGGGTAGGAGTTGTTCCAGCTGCTAGTAACAGAGTCCCAACCACAGATTTTTAAGCAAGTCTGGGAAATGTGGAGATCATCAGTCCTGGACCAGGGTGGCAATTTCACAAAGCCACGAGGGCCCCAGACCGCTTGCATCTTTTGCTCTGCTGTCCCTGGTGTCTAGTTTCCATGGCTGCTGAGCCTCCAGCCTTCACCTGTTTCTAGGCAGAAGGAAGAGGGCAAGGGAAAGGAGAGCCGGCCCCCCAAGGCCCACACAACTGTTTTGGTAAAAGATACACTCCCTGCTGCCATCTGCATGGAATGCTAGAGAATTTGGAAGCATTGTCATTTAGCTGGGCAAGTTGCCAACCTAAATAATATTAGGGTTCTGTTACCAAATCAGAGGGAGAATGACGATTGGGTAAGCCTCTCGCAGCCCCTGCCTCGAGCCCTGTTCTTTTCTTGCGACTGCAGGCAAATGACCCTTTTAGAAAGCAGAGCCGTTTCACTGAGCTGTGTAGGTCAAGACTAGTTTACAAGATGGTTTCTCTGTACGCCTCTCATTTCTGGCTTGATAAATTAGTAAATCTGAACCTCATTTGCTACTGTTAGAAAAATATGTCACCTACAACATGAATGTAAGAAAAGCTAAACATAAAAATTTTTTCTAACAAATATTCTCTCCTAGGTTTCAGAATCTCAGCTTTTACCAGGACAGAGGTTTCAAACTAAAGGTATGTTTTCATCGCAACATGGTAGTTTCTTCACTGTTAGAGACTCTATAAAGTAGTTGTCCTGGGTGTTTTTATTTATTTTATTATTGTGGGAAAATACTTGTAACATAAAATTTACCATTTTAAGCATTTTTAAATGTACAGTTCAGTGGCATTAAGCACATTCACATTATTGTGCAACCATCACCACAATCCATCTCCAGAACTTTTTCATCATCTCACTGGAAGTCTATACTCATTAAACACCAACTTACCTCCGTCCTCCCCAGCCCCTGGCACCACCATCCTCCTTTCTGTCTCTGTGAGTTCGACTACTCTAGGAACCTCATTAAGTGGAATCATACAATATTTGTCTTTTTATGTCTGACTTATTTCACTTAGCATGATGTCTTTAAGGTTCATCCATGGTGTAGCATGTGTCAGAATTTCCTTCCTTTCTAAAACTGAATAATATTCTATTGTATGTATATACCACATTTTATTTATCCATCCATTTGTCACCAGACGTTGGGTTGTTTCCATCTTTTGGCGACTGTTAATAATGCTGCTATGCACCTGGGTGTATCATTTCTTAAATATAGAGTTGGAATTAATTATAGCTGTAGGTCTGTACGATTTGAGATAACAAATACTGTACTTGGTGTGTACAGCATGTTACTTTGTGTAGACCATGTTAGGCCCTGGGCCCCACTAGGGAGGAAACACACATCATTATTTCCAGTTGCCCCGCTCTTCAGCCCGTCATCTCATCCTTTTGGGCCTGATGAGCATTTGTTAAAAGGTTTCTGCTGATGGGTTCGTAAAGGTCTTTGCTTGTATTCTTCATTTTTAGATCCAGAGGAGCAAGGAGACATTGTGGTAGCCTTGTACCCCTATGATGGCATCCACCCAGACGACCTGTCTTTCAAGAAAGGAGAGAAGATGAAAGTGCTAGAAGAGTAAGTGCGCCAAGTGCACTGTGCCTGCTGTTCCTGTGCTCAGGCACCGAGTCCTGCATGCTGTCCCCCTCCTTTTGCTTCCAGTAGCACAGTGATTGCCAGATGCCCCTCTTGTGGTGGGCATGAGGTCCCCCCAGCCTCCTTGCTGCCAGGAGGGCTTTGGGAGTGAGAGGAGTAGGGCCAAAGGGGTTTTCCTCTTAAGTTTGGCTGTGAGCACTCTCTAGGAGGTTTCCTTTGAAGATAGACACCAGTTTCTTTATCCATCTGTGCTGCCTAAAGAAGTTGAGGTCTGTGTGGAATTGACATATTCTTTTTAAATGCCATCTTTATTTAGTTATATTACTTAAAATTCAGAGTTGGTGTATGGGCCCAACTTGGTGTGATTTATAAGGACCCTGTGCTGAAGCAATAGTCATCTTGGAAAAGCCCTTGCTCAGCAGTTGTGGCACTTCTGCGAAGACACTTCTGTGAAGATGCTTCTGTGAAGACATTGGGACATCCTCATTTCCTGACGCCTCCATGCTGACTCACAGACCTGTGGCCTTGGGGCTCAGGACAGTACCGAGAATAAGGAACTCCAAGTCCCTTAATTCTTGCTTGCTTTTCCTACTAATTTTGCATACTTTGTCACCCTGGCCTGCTGACCAGGGTTAGAAGGAGGAGGAGACTCCTTATTAAGTATAAGGCATTAAGTGGTTGGGAGCAGTTGTCACTTACTGGTTGACCACGAACTTGGGCCTAAGGCTGGCCCTGTCACTTGATAGTTGTGTGACCTTGACAAGTCACTTCAACTCTATACCTTAGTTTCTTCACTTATAAAATGAGAATGGCAATACCTGTCATGGTGTTGATGTGAGGATCGTGTGTGTGTATGCATATATATAAATATAGCACAGTAGTCCCCCCTTATCCGCAGTTTCACTTTCTGTGATTTTGGTTACCTGCTGTCAACCACGGTCTGGAAGCAGATGATCCTCCTCCTGACATATTGTCAGAAGGTCAATAGTAGCCTAATGCTGTGTCAGAATGCCTGTGTCATTCACCTCACTTCATCTCATCACGTAGGCATTGTGTCATTTCACATCATCACAGGAAGAAGGGTGAGTACCGTAGAGTAAGATAAGAGAGAGAGAGACCACATTCACATGACTTTTACTACAGTATATTGTTATAATTGTTCTATTTTTATTATTAACTATTGTTAATCTCTTACTGTGCTTGATTTATAAGTTAAACTTTATTATAAGTATGTATGTATGGGAAAAATCACACTATATATAGAGTTCAGTACTCTCCTCCGTATCAGGCATCCACTGAAGTCTTAGATGGTACCCCCCTCAGATAAGGGGGGACTACTTTATAGGCATGTAGTAAGAAGGTCGTCCTTCACGTCCTACAGACAGGGGTCCCATCTGTGCTTGGGAATTTGAAGGGGAGCATAGTTGAGGCTCATAGGGCCCCATCCAGTCCTGCTTCCTTCACTGGCCCCAGCCTCCTCCTGGCTCCTCACTGAGGGCAAGAGCACAGTGATGAGGCCTACCTACTTGGAATTATCTTATGGTTTTCTATTTCCTTTTTCCATGGAAACCAGATGTTTTAACAAAGGAGTTTATAACACAGAAACTATGGATCATTATTCCTGGATTCCCATTTCTGTAGGAATCCTAACGCATTTCTTAGCTATCCTGGGGGAGTTACAAACGTTTTGCTTCTGCACCACAGGAACCATTGTCACCAACTCTTTTTTGTGTAGTGCTGAGCACAGTGACCCACACTTCAGTTGTGAGGCTGTTTTCCTTTGCTGCAGTCTCTAAATGTGTTTTTATTTCAGCAAGGGGAGTGAATTTTCCTACTGGATTCTGGGGTTCCAGGGATCTTCCCCACCCTCCGTCACAGCCCCCACTCCCCCCCAAAAATCAAACATCTTAAGACAGTTGCTCCTGTAGTTCCTGAGTCATTGGACACAAATAGTTTTTGAGATGTGCTTCTGTTGCAGGCATGGAGAGTGGTGGAGAGCCAAGTCGCTCTCCACAAAGAGAGAAGGCTTCATCCCCAGCAACTACGTCGCCAAAGTCAACACCTTGGAAACAGAAGAGTGAGTCCTCGCACGTTGTCATCTTGATGGTTTTGTGCACTGTGTGGGATTTCTTGTTTATTCTTTATCTGTTTCCTTCCCTGGAGCATAACACCCATGAAATGTTACGATGTCTCCTCAGGTGGTTTTTCAAGGATATAACCAGGAAAGACGCAGAGAGGCAGCTGCTGGCGCCGGGGAACAGCCCTGGAGCTTTTCTCATCAGAGAAAGTGAGACATTAAAAGGTAGGAAGTCACTGAAGCCCTCTTAAAAGACACTAATTAGCAGCAAATCATTCTTAGAAACTGGGCTAGAATCTTTTGAAAAAGGGATATATTGTGTTCTAGTAGTGAAAGTTTTATAGGTTGATAACAAATAAACTGAAATGATTAGTTTTGCTACTAAAAGTAACATAGGAAGCAGACATAGCTATGGTCATTTCTTACCATGCTTTCTGCTTGCTGAGCCTCTTACATTATTATTTAGAGTAAATCTTGAAATTTTAAGAGAAAGAAAATCAAGATAACTTCAATTCAGTGAAATAATTTAAACTGTCATGAAGAAGGAAAATGGCATGTTGATAAGCTTCATAGCAAACAAATGCTAGATTCATTTGTTCAGTAGACTTTTTATAGGACTTTTAAAATAATACACTGTATACATAGTTAATTTATATTTTGCATATTTTTACACAAAATGTGTACCACAGTGTTGTATAGTGCAGAGCTTATTTATGGACTATAAGTGTAATCTTTACTGTACTTTTTCCCTTCCAGGAAGTTTCTCTCTGTCTGTCAGAGACTATGACCCCGTGCATGGTGATGTCATTAAGCACTACAAAATTAGGAGTCTGGACAATGGCGGTTATTACATCTCTCCACGAATCACTTTTCCTTCTATCAGTGACATGATTAAGCATTACCAAAGTAAGTCAAAACTGAAAGTTGGACAAGACAAAATATGTTTATTATGATAAATATATGGTGTCAAACACTTTTTTACATTAAAATTCTTAGGCATCCTATTTGTTTTGGATAAAGTTAGAGGATCATATTCTGTAATTGATTCTAAATTAATCTTTCATTAAAAATACCTTCAAAGTCAGATTTGATCTTTGAATAATTATCTCAGTCCTTCCCACCTGGTCCGCACTATTTGAAAGTTAATGTTCCAACATCACAAAGAGGAAAATGAATATTATTTTTGTGTAATGCATATTTTTACAACACATCTTTAAATATTTGGAATAGGAATGCAGATTTGCAGATCTGTTTCTTTGTGTATATGTGTGTATATGTTTGTAAAAGTAATACGTACTCTTGGTAAAAGAAGACAGAAATAACAACAAAATATTTAGAAGTGGCAAGTCACTGGTCCCATTCTCTAATGCCATTCTCAAACCGTGTTATGCTATCCTGTGACCAGCCTTTATATTCATTCCTGCTGTGAATGAACTGAAGTTGGTTGTAGTGGGCAGCTGTTGTTACTGCTTATTTTTACAACCTACTCTAAGGAATACATATTATACAATTTGCTTAGGCCTCAAAATATGGAGAGAGCAAGGTACACCAGATTTTGTGGAATCTTCTCTCCCTCCCTCTGTCATCCCCGTTCACTTGTTCGTCTGGCATGCATGTTGAGAGCTGGTGGCGCTCTGGCCCTGTTCTGGGGCCAGGGGCCCCCTGGTGACATGGCCAAGCCCCCCCTGTTGGGCCCTGAGGCACTTACATGGGCTCAGTAATCTGAAATTACATTTTATGAAGTGTGACAACCTGTCAGCCTTTGTTTATCTATTTGGTTTGTTGTCTTTGTTTTATAGATTAGCAGTACTAATGAGTCAAATTGTGTGTGTCTTAAATTAGCTTTCATTTAAGAATTTCAAAAGTCACGATCCAAAAGATGTCCCATGAGCATTTTAGGTTCATAGACTTTGACACGTTGGAAATTATAAGACTAATAGTGAAAACTTCTCTACAGATACCAGTAAAATGCAAAGTATGACCTTTCTTAACCTTGATTTTCTCTTTCAAATTAGAGCAGTCAGACGGCCTGTGCAGGAGACTGGAGAAGGCGTGCATCAGCCCCAAACCACAGAAGCCCTGGGATAAAGATGCCTGGGAGATCCCTCGGGAGTCCATTAAGTTGGTGAAGAGGCTCGGTGCTGGGCAGTTTGGGGAAGTCTGGATGGGTGAGTGTGTGGCTCTGGAGGCTGAGTCCACTCCAGGGGGACGACAGGAGAAGTGAGGGCTCCAGCCAATTTCTATCACTTTTCTCAGCCAAACGCTCAACTGTGTCAGAAGCCTCCCTTCTTTTGCTTTTCTCCGTCCACCTTACACCAAGAACTGGCCTGCAGAATTATTTGATAAGACTCTTCCTCTTCCCTGTGACTTAGTAATTCTCTTTTAAAGTGAACATTTATAAGGAAGAGAGCAGCAGGTGTTTATCCTGGTTGTTCTCTCTACTCTTCTGTGACTCTCTCATCACCAGGTTCTCTGGACACACATTTCAAGTACAGGAACTTTGCTTCCGCCTCACAGAAAGCTGCACTTGGGTTTAGGGCCGTCCTTACTAGCGGGCTTCATAGGGGCCTCACAGTTATTGCAATTTCTCACCAGGAAGTTTTCTGAAGAGGCTCAGAATGCCATCATTAATGAGTCCTTCCTTATCATTAAGTGCTGCCTGCTCAGGCTGGTGAGAGGTGACCAGAATTATAGCAGTGGCTTTCTCCAGGCCATTCTTTTTGCCCATGTATCTTTTCTAAAGTTTTTATAGTGAATGGGAGTTTCTTTGTTTTTTGTGATAAGAATAAAAAAAGCTTTTTTTTTTTTAAAGCTTCATGTTCTCTTCATGGTTCTAATTGAAAATACATTTTTCTGGAAACTTCTGGAAAGGATAATATGTTAGGTCATACACATCATGCTGGATCACTGTCTCGGTGCCAGCTTTGTGTGAGTGAAAGCAAACGTGATTTCTCAAGAGAAGAAAGAATAGACAGATTTTTTCTTTTAAGATTTTATTTTTCCTTTTTCTCCCCAAAGTCCCCCAGTACATAGTTGTATATATTTTTAGTTGTGGGTCCTTCTAGCTGTGGCATGTGGGACACCCCCTCAGCATGGCCTGATGAGTGGTGCCATGTCCGGGTCCAGGATCTGAAACCCTGGGCCGCAGAAGCAGAGCGTGCGAACTTAACCACTCGGCCACAGGGCCGGCCCCTGGGGTAGACAGATTTTAAACACTGTCCAGCCCCAGGCGAGCAGAAACTAAGACCCTTCCAGCCTCCCGCAGCCATGTGTCCTTTCACTTCCCCATCCAGGGGTCTGTGAGGGAGAGGTTTGTCCTCTAAAATCTTGGCTCCTCACATCACAGCTTTGTCCACTTTCTCCTGTTGTCACTGCGTTAACCCAAGTGTCTTTTAAATATGGTGGATACTGACTCAGCATGTAATTAATTCTTACTGCACTGTACGTCTTTGTGAACATATTTACAGAATTTCAGATAAATTATCATTATGCAACCTCACGTTCTTCATTTTGGTTGGGGTATTTCAGAACCAGTTGGCAGTGCGTATCAGGCACTCTCCATTCCAGTCAGCGGATTCATGAGTGTGAGCGCTCCCTCTAGATGTGGTCTCTTCTCCTTCACACTCTGTTGCCTAAGTCGTAATATTATCCTCCTCCTTTCTCTATCTGCTCTTTTCTTTTTATTGAGGTAAAATTCACGTAACATGAAGTCAATCATTTTAGAGTGAACAATTCAATGACATTTACTACATTCACATTCTTGTGCAATCACCACCTCTATCTAGTTCCAAAATATTTTCATCACCCCAAAAGGAAACACTGTACCCATTCAGCAGTCATTTTTTGTTCACCCTCCCCCAAGCCCATGGCAACCACCATTCGACTTTCTGTCTCTGTGAATTTGACTACTTCAGGTACCTCATATAAGTATATATGGATTCCTCATATTTAAGGAATCGTATACTATTTGTCCTTTTTGGCCTGGCTTATTTCACTTAGCATGTCCCCAAGGTTCACCCATGTTGTACCAGGTGTCAGAATTTCATTCTTTTTTTATGGCTGAATAATATTCCATTACATGTGGATATACCACAATTTGTTTATTCATTTACCTGTTGATGGACATTTGGGTTATTTTCACCTTTTGGATATTATGAATAAGGCTGCTATCAACACTCATGTACAAATTATTGGGTGGACAAATGTTTTCATTTCTCTTGGGTATATACATTCTTTTAGGAGTGGAATTACTGGGTCATATGGTAATTCTATGTTTAACTCTTTGAGGAGCCATCAAGCTGTTGTCTGCTCATTTTATTTTATTTTATTTTTATTATTTTCGGATGTACATCATATTTCAAATTCTGTGTACATTACATCATGTTCACCACCCGAAAACTAACTATAGTCCATCCCCTCACATGTGAGCCCAATCACACCTTTTGCCCTCTCCCCTCCCCCCTACCCCTGTGGTAACCACCAATCCAATCTCCAATGGTATGTGGGTTTTTTTTTTTGTCGTTGTTTTTATCTTCTACTTATGATTGAGATCATATGGCATCTGACTTTCTCCCTCTGACTTATTTCACTCAGCATAAAAAACATACCACCTTCTTTTTTTCCCCCAGGCATTTATATTTATGTCTTAATTTTTTTTTTCAACTCTATAGCATAGGGACAGGAATAGTATAATAAACATTGTATACCCTTCACCTAGATTTACCAGTTAATATTTTGCTGTATTTGCTTTATCTTTTTTGTGCATATACCCATGCATACTCATACCTTTTTTGTTGTTGTTGAACCACTTGAGCGTAAGGTGCAGACATGAGGACTCTTTACCCCTAAATTCTTTTTTTTTTTTTAAAGATTGGCACCTGAGCTAACAACTGTTGCCAATCTTCTTTTATTCCCCCCTGCTTTTTTCTCTCCAAATCCCCCCAGTACATAGTTGTGTATTTTAGTTGTGGGTCCCTCTAGTTGTGGCATGTGGGACGCCACCTCAACATGGCCTAATGAGCAGTGCCATGTCCACGCCCAGGATCTGAACCCCGGGCTGCTCAAGCGGAGCGTGTGAACTTAACCACTTGGCCACGGGGCAGCCCCCACCCCTAAATTCTTAAGCATGTGTCTCCTAAGAGCAGGGCTGTTATCTTACACAATGCAGTGATCATTTTCACGAAATTTAACATTGATACATACTATTATCTAATTTAGAGTCTATATTCAAATTTCCCTAATTGTCTCAATAATGTCCTTGTGGCTATCTAGGATCATGTCTTTGCCTTTAGTTGACATGCCTTTAGACTCCTTTTATCTGGAATGGTCCCTTGGCCCCTCTTCATCTTTTATGACACTGACATTTTGTAGAACGCAAGTCAGTTGTTTTGTAGAATGTCCCTCGTGTGGATTTTTCTGGTGTTTCCCGTGATTTGGCTCAGGTTATGTCTTTGTGCCTGAGTAATATCTAAGTATTAAGTGATGCTGTGTCCTCAGTGCCATCCATCAGGAGGCACAGAATATTAGGTGGTCCCATTATTGCTGGTGTTCTGTTTGATTTGGAGGTCCACCAGATTTCTCCATTGTAAATGTTACTTTTTAATTCCCTTTTGTGATTAATTAATAATCTGTGAGGAGATTCTTTAAAATTATGTAAATATCCTGTGCTCTGAAAGAACTTTCTCCAAATGGTTTCGGCATCATCTGCTCATTTTGAATTCTCTTCCCTCTTAGAAGCCATAACTTCTCTAAAAAGCTGCCGTCGTCCCTGTCCTCCTCCCACGCTCCCCTAGACGTGTCTACTCGAACCCCCTGGCTCACCTTGGTAACCAGGGACTCTGCCTTCTCTCTCTGGCCTTGCCTCCACAGCCTTGTCTCTTCATTGAGAGTACTGGCAGGAAGACATGTTCAGGATTACATTTAATTGTCCTCTATGTCTCTGAGTCCATCTGAGTGCGCTTTCCTCTCCATATTTGCCGTGACTTTGAGTGGGGAGGAGATGACAAGATGTGGAAGGGGAGGAAGAAGAACAGGAGGAGGGGAGAAAAGACTGTCCCAGTTGTACAGTGTCTACTGGCCCCTTTTAGGTACATTTTCATTGATTATCTCACCTACTTTTCACAATAACATTGTAAGATAGGAGTTATTGTCGTCATTTAATAAATGAGGACACTGAGAGTCAGGTAAGCAACTTGTCCAAAGTCATTGAAGGCAGTGGGGAAGGTGGCTGCTCTGGCATCCCAGAGACCTGGACTCACTTGCTAAGCTATCTCTAAGTTAACTTAGACCTCCTTGCCTCAGTTTCCTCATCAGTAAGATGGGCAAACAACCATCTCATCCATTGCTGAAAGAAAGAATGAGATTATGTACTGAAGTGTTTCCTCTAGAGTTTGGCGGTGCACTCTATTTTTATTATTATTTTCGTTTTGCTGTATTTGACTATAGTCGCTGGAAGCTTTATTTCAATGTATTTTTCCCAATTTTAATCATGAATTCAAACTATAAATAATGCAGTTAGACTATCCTATGGATATTTGCTGGCAAAGGAATTGCATATCAGCTATGAAGAGAAAAGTAGAGGAAGCTTAACTGGGGTGTAGTCGTTTGCTCTAAAACATATGAAGTGATGGTTTGGAGTTTTGTTGCAATCTCTTCATGTTCCACTGTGAAGCCAGGACAAAGTCGTCGAACGGCGTGCTGTTTGCATCCGAGAGATAAGAAATAAGATCTACTGGTCTGGAAAGTTATCACTTTGAGAGGGAAGAGATTATGATAGTCTTCTTGTGTTTTCTCAACATTTTCTTGAGGGCTGCTAGCAAGTTGAATGGTACTCTCTTTACCAGCTCCATGACAGTGGTGCTTTGAGGTGCCATTTGCCCACCCAACTCATCCATTCCTAAGAAACTGACTGGGATGTTAGCTGGCGGGAAGTCAAGAGCAAAGTAGCAGTTGGGGGAGGGCAGGACAAGCCTGACTAGGCCTGCTCACAGTACAGTTCTGTCGTGAGTGGCTCAAACCTGCACTAAAATTGTTACCTGGAGCTCAAGCACATTGCTCCTTTCTGGGATTGAGAAAACCTCTTTGCTTCCAATTCCAGATATACCAGATCCTCCTGCCCATTTCTTACCCTTTCCCATTCCTGGGCTTCCACTGGGCCACGTGCTAAATGTTCACACTTTGATTCTAGAGAACTTTCAGTTACAAGGAGGTGAGAATGGGGCATACGAAAATATGTAATTGTTCTATGTTTATAACATAAAATTTACCATCATAACCATTTTTAAGTGTACAGCTCAGTACTGTTAGGGACATTCATACCACAAGAACTCTTTTCATCTTGCAAAGCTGGGACTCTATACTCTTTAAACAACATCTCCCCTTTCCTGCCTCCTCCCAGCACCTGTCTCTACCATTCTACTTTCTCTCTCTAAGAATGTGAATGCTCCGGGTACCTCAAATAAGTAGAATCATACAGTATTTGTCTTTTTGTAACTGACTTATTTCATTTAGCATAATGTCTTCAACGTTTATCCATATTGTAGCATGTATCAGAATTTTATTCCTTTTTAAAGTTGAATAACATTGCACTGTGTGTATAGACCATATTTTGTTTATCTAGTCATCCATCCAAGGACACTTGGATAGCGTCCACTTTTTGGTGACTGTGAATAATGCTGCTGTGAACATGGTGCACAAATATCTTTTTGAGATTCTGCTTCCAAATATTTTGGGTATAAAATTACATCACTGTTAATCAAGTGAGTTAGTATTTTTGTGAAGCATGAGGAATGGTTCATAGACTACCACTCACATTTTCTGGTCTGAAATACAGTGGACAAATACTAGGAAGTGACCTGTTCTGGGGGCAGAGGGGGTGGGGATAAAAGAAAGAGGAGCTTCTCTCTCAAGCTGTTTCCTCTTGTTGGTGTGATCCTCTTGACATCTGGTTTGGTGACACATTTTCCTCTGTGGATTGTTGGATTCTGAGCAAATGACTGAGCAGGAAAGCTAAGGATGATGTTTCCTGTTACCGCTTGGCCTATGAAGAGACTTTGAGGAAGAAAGGAAACTTATTTTGAATTGAATAATTTTCATTTGAGCCAGCTGCATTAAAATTAATCACCAGCCAACTTCCAAAATCAACTACATTAATCTTTTTTTAAGACCACCCTCCATTTTGTGGTACTTAGGCATTTTTTAGGAAGTTAATCACACTTGGAAATGGAGCTTTCTCAAATCGTCACACCAGTTTTCTTTAACCGTGGCAAAGTGACACTCCATGAGAAATTCTTTAGTACCTTCAAAAGATTTTTTAAAAATCATTTTCCATTTTTAATGCCAACCCAAACCTCCATGACTAGATTGATTGAACCTGCACACTACTGGGGAGTATCTTGGTAAAGTATAATTTGATCTTTAGTGCTGAATAAAAGTGATTCTGTTAGTGTAAGATAAAAACCTACCCTATTGTTTAAATGTCACAGCCCTTAGTGTAGACCACTTAGCGGAAGCTGCTGCCATCCTCGAGCTGTGTTTGACCCAGCTGCTTTATTCACTGTTCATCGTAAACTCTTTATCAGCATGTTTAATATCTTTAGCAGCTATAATATTTCCTGATAACTTTTCTCCCTACCCTTGGAAAGCATTTTTTTCTTCATCCTTTATCCATAATTTTATGTTGTGTAAAAGTCCCAGTGAGTTCCATTGCTTTTGTGATGACAAGGGGAGAATAGTTTTGTTTCTGTCACTTTTATTGCTGTGTACCATAACAGCAGACAGAAAAGAGTGTACAACACAGATATTCAAGACCACAAGTAATTACACAGTGAAAACCTGTGGTGGCCACACCAGATCACACACTGGAAACTTGCCAGCACCCAGAAGCCCCCACTTATCCCCTCCCAGCCATAACCTCACCTTCCTCCAAAGGCAGCTGCAATTCTGACTTTTGTGATAATTTCCTGGCTTTTCTTTATAGTTCTGCTACTTTTGTATGTGAGGATATGCATCCCCAAACAATATAGTTTAGTTTTGCCTGTTTTTGAACTTTATGTAAATGAATCATCCCCAATATACTCTTTTATTATGTCTTGCCTCTTTTACTCAACATTATGTTTGTGAGATTTGTCCACATTTTTGGGTATAGCTACAGTTCATTCATCTTCGTTGCTACATTGTATTGTGTTGTGTGTGTGTTTAAGGTGTACAACAGTTTATCCATTGATTTCACTATTTATTGATGGAATTATTGTTTCCAGGTTTTGGCTACTATGAACAATGCTGCTATGAACATTTTCATACTGTCGCAAGGATACATGGGTTTCTCTAGTGGATTTGCTGGATCACAGGAGTATGAATCTTCAACGTTAACAAATACTGCCAGCTTAGTTTCCAAAGTGTGTGTCCCAGTTTAGACTCTCATCAGCAGTATACAAGAGTTCTCAGTGTCCCACTTCCTGGCCAACAGAGTTGTACCTAGAAGGATGTGGGCCCCATGTCAGAGCAGCCCATGTGTGTGTGTGTGTGTGTGTGTGTGTGTGGTCACTCAAGATAACTGCACTTGAAAGGAGGCTGTTCTGTCAACATCCTTCGTGGGCCCCTGGGAATATTGTTAAAGACAGAAACTTTGCAACTGAATTTCAGTGATGCTCAGAAAAGAGCACAGAAAAGGGCCCAGGGGGCTGCCCTAGTTTCCTTACCAAGGGGCACATGCACCAAGGGGCATGTGCTCAGCAGCACTCGAGATTGTCAGCCTTTTTGTTTTTGTCGAGCTAGATGGTGCTTTCTCCCATCTATTTATTTGCATTTCTCTTATTACTAATATAATTGAATTCCTTTCACTTATTTATTAGTCATTTGGATTTCTTCTTTTTGAAATACCCATCCAAGCCTTTGCTTATTTTTCTTATTGATTTGTAGGAATTTTTTATATATTCTGGACACTAGTCCTTTGTTGGTTACATGTGCCAAAAGGAATGTATTTTCTTGCTATGCTTTGCCACAGATATATTCACGTAACTGAGGATCTATTTATAAACTTTTAAGCAAATTTATGATGGAATCCTCTTGATTCAAATGTAATATTAAAGGAATCTTGTCTGTGGAATTTGCTTTGTATTTACTCTTAAGAGCCATAGGATAGATTATATTGTTTGCAATTATCCATTTAGATGGAAGATTAATCTAATGTATTCATGATTCCATTATTTTGTGTAGGTTGAGGCTTTTGAAAATGAATAGGACAGTATTTTGTCAGCTTTCTCTTACTGTCTTATCCATATGTTTTAACACTTACTTTATTTTATATACTACATTCTTCTTTTTTCTGTAGGGCACTGCATGCTACCACTATGTGGAATATACAGGAAAAAGTGTTAACAGAGAAATCAGTGTTAATGATCAGAAGAAAAATTATTAACTAGGGTTGACTGTTAGCTGTAAACTGTACTTTTTCTTGCCCATTTGAACTTGTGGAAATAGAAACATAATTGATTTTCTTTTAAAAAAAATTCCTTTTGTAAAAAAAAAAAAGATACATACTCATTCACAAATTTAATCAAAATAGAAAAGAACAAAAGAAAGTAAAAGTCACACCAAACTCTACCACCCAGAGATCATCATTGTTGACGTTCTACTGAGCATCTTCCAGTCATCTCTCTATGCTGTACATATACAGATAATTACGTGGCCCAAAAAAGGGGACTAGACGCTCTAAGTCACCATTTCTTAGAGTTGTATTTTTCTTAGGGCGGGTTCTATGAAACGGTAATGCACCAGATAGAGGTAACTGGTAGGGAGACTCGAGGTGGTAACCAGCTGCCCCTCCCTCATTTTTTTTTGTCACTTCCAAGAGAAGTACGGAAACAGAGGGAAGGGAAGGGGAATGGGATTAGCTCTATTTCTGCTTTGCCAAACCACTGAGAAAAGGCTTTCCCAGGAGACAGTCAGGCTCAGAATTAAGCACATCATTGAAGCAGGTTCCAGAAAAGTGGTGCCTTGGAGGAAGTATATTAAGGAGTTGGTATTTCCCAAAGTGTGTTCCATGGGTGTGAGAAAGTACATGGAAGGTGTTCTGTGGTCAGTAAAATGTGGGACATGCTAAGGCTAACCCAGTCAGACAGGTTTCTGCACTGAAGGGCTCTCGCTGCTTGTGCTGCATCTCCTGGGTCAGGGAGGGGTGTGGCAGGCTGTGGTTCCCAGACATTTCAGCACAGGACCCTTTGTTCATGGAGAATCACCCAAGTCAGGTTCTCACTGAAAACTTTGGGAAATACTTATTTGGCTCTAGTATATTGTACTTAAAAGTTAGTGTATATATGTATTTTAAGCACCGAGCTTTTTTTTCTGATTATAAAAATAATACATATTCGTTGTAGAAAATTTGGTAAGTAAAGGTATGGTGAACAAAACTGAAATCACCTACAATTGCATCATTGGAGATAGCCAGTATTTGGTGTATTTTCTTCTAGACCATTGTTTGTGTGTGTGTGTGTGTGTGTGTATGTATAAGAGTATACTGGGGCTTTGGGGAGGAAAAAGAAAGAGAAAAAGATTAGCAACAGATGTTAGCTCAGCCAATCTTAAAAAAAAAAATTTTATTAATTAGAGAAAAAACTTAGTCCCCATGGTGGAGTGCATATAGAGTGTTCTTTTTTAAACTGTTGTTTTATAAGAACCTTTTGATGTTGGAATAATTTCAGATTTTTTTGTAAAGATGGTACAGAGAATTCCCATATATCCTTTCCTTGGCCTTCCCTAACGTTAACACTATATAGAGTTTTATATAATAGAACTATGGAGAGTTTTATACCAGTTTTTTCTATCTTTAAGTAAATTTTCATCTAACTCTGCATGAAGTTTTTTAATTTTGGGTTTGTAAAGCATGCCCTCCCTTCTTCTTTCTTCCTAGGTTACTATAACAATAGTACCAAAGTGGCTGTCAAAACCCTGAAACCAGGCACTATGTCTGTGCAAGCGTTCCTGGAAGAGGCAAACCTCATGAAGACCCTTCAGCACGACAAGCTGGTGAGACTGTATGCTGTGGTCACCAAAGAGGAGCCCATCTACATCATCACCGAGTACATGGCCAAGGGTGAGCGCCCCAGGACCCAGTGCTCGTCAAAGGCTCACACCTCAAGAAGTAAAATGTCTGACATTCAGAGAGTCCTCAGATAATCTTAATTGTAAAACAGCTTGCTTACTACCAAAAAATCGGAAACTATGAGAAAACAAAGGATTTTCATAAACCACCTCTCTGCAAGTAATCTATGTTAGAAAATTAATATATGATCTTCCTATTTTCTCTACACTTGTCTCCATATATGTACTAGCCCAAATAATAGTACCCCATACCTAGTAGGCCCCCAATAAATACTTGCCAAGTAAATATATATTTCAAATAAGAGTATTTTTGTTATATATTTAAAATGTGAGTTCTCAGAATTTTAAAACTATTTCATTTTCCTCTTTAGCATTATCTGAATGTTCAGGCTATCACTTCAAAATGTTAATATTTTTAAAACTTGTCGAGATTAAATTCCTGTGTAATCATAGATTCACTGAACAGGAGGTTTTGAGCAACTGTCTTTTCTCCCACTGTTACAGCTTCAGATAAAGGGGTGTGAATCACCATCTTACTCCCGCCAGTTCAGCAGAGATGCTAATAGACTGCCAAATGATTTTTTGAAAGTCTTAGGAAGGAAGGAAAGAAATATTAGCAATAATCCAAGATTAACAATCTTCTCATGCATGATGGAGATTATAGTGTGATGTCTTAGTCAAATAGGTTAGAAAGATGAATATTATATGTTACTATTTCAGAATATTAGTTTTTCCAAAAAAGGACATTGTTAAAATAAAAAAAAAAAACTTATGGCTTAAGTTGCTAAAGCCCAGAAACGAGACTCAGGGTAGATACTTTGTAGGAGTTCGGTAAACACTGGTTGAATTAATTAAGAGTAATTTTAATCATCAATGTGAATAAGAGTATCTCCTGATAACAATACCTAACCTTTGTTGAGCACCTGCTGTATTCCAGACTATTCTTGATGCCTTCCCTGGGTGCTCTCACTTAGTCTTTTCCACGGTCTGAGGGCTAAGTCCTGTTGTTCCGTGTTGGGGCTGAGGCAGCAGAACATTTATTGAGAATTTACTACCTGCCAAGCACTATGGCCTGAGTTTTAAATCCATCCTCCCGAGGACTCTGGGAGAGCTGCCAGGACATGCCCATGGTACAGGGACTTGGATGAGGTCAGTAACTCACCCAAGGCTGCCCTCCGGTTGGCACTTTAAGTTTGAGGGGAAGAGCAGGTCTTGTTTCTGAGATGAAGCCATAGGAAGCAAGAGAGTCTGTCGGTGGGCACACTCCCTTTTAGGTAGGTCAAACTTTTTTCTAAAGCACAGTTCATTCATCAGGTACTCGTTGAGCACCTGCAGCATGTATCCAGTTCTGTGCTTTTGCTGGACACAGATAGAAGCGGGCCCAGCTGAGTGCCTGTTATGGGCAGACCCACCAGGAGGCCTTGCTGGTTTCTGTCCCAGAGAAGCTCTAAAGATCAGGCGCTGCAGGAAGTGTATGGTGGTGGCAGGTCCCAAGTGCTCTGAAATGCATTGCTCTCAGACACCTGTAGCGGGAAAAGCAGCGTCCACCACCACCCTTTCTTCCCTGGAGCGCACGTGCATGTCACAACAAGTCAAAGGTAACAGGTTAGAGAGGACTGGCTTTGACCAACCTCAGGACTTGCAAGACTTGCAAAGTCAATCACTTTGTGGGGTTCCCTCCTCCAACAGCAACGATCGTTTAAATTACCTTTGGATCTTTTTTCTTGAGTGTTTCAACTACACTGACTTGTTCTTCCTCTGTCAACAGGCAGTTTGCTGGATTTCCTGAAGAGTGACGAAGGGGGCAAAGTGCTACTTCCAAAGCTAATCGACTTTTCTGCTCAGGTGAAGTGTTAAAAAGCTAGTGCGCATGTGAATTTGCAAAGACCTCTCTGCTTCAGATTCATGATGAGGTTGTTGCTCCAGGGGGAAAGCATTTCTGTTGGATGTTTCCCAGTAGTGGTTATGAGCAAAAGAGCTTCCAAAGTACACTTCCTTGGAGACAGGAGTGGGTGTTTCAAATGGAATGTGTGTGTGCACGCGTCGAGTTTTGACTTGGATGTGGTCTTCTCTAAGACAAGTCAACCTCTTTATACTTATATTCATTTCCACACAAGCGATAGTAACAATGCAGCCGAATTGATAACTTTATGCTGCACTTTGGAAAAGCAGTTCCGCTCAGTGTTAGAACAGCACCTTCTAAATGGTGCGTTTGTGGTATTTCAGTTACTAATCTAATCTACTGATACTTTAAGTCCTTAGTATTCTTGAAAACAGAGGAACAATATTCTTTTCCTACTCTACCCCTCTTCAAACCTTCTTGTTGGATATGTCTTTAGGATTCTGAGAAATAGTCATTTATAATATTTCTAGTACTAGCATACAAGTGGCAAATTTGTTTACTTTGGCATCACGTTTCCTGAAGTGTATTTAAGAGCAGAGGGAAGTTACTCGGAAACCCAGCAATGTGCCTGGTGTATCAAGGAAATGCACGTTTGAATGATGCCAACTACTGACTTTTCATAGCTTCCTTGTGTCCATTAGTCATGTTCAGTAGTTTGCTCATTTTGTTTCTCAATACTGGCCATGCGTAGTTCAAGTTGGGAAGGCCACGTACCATAAAGCACAGGCAACACAAGAGATTTCTAGGAGTTCTAGGAAAGGGTGGTCTTTATGATCTTCATTTCTTACTCTCATTTCTTCCCTCAGACCCTCTTAAAAGATAAGGCCTTCTTGGGAAGATGAGATCAAAGGAATGAATTAGTACACAGGTAAAGTACTTCAAGTAAGATAGGATGAGAACAGATGCTCTGCATTGGAGATTGTGGGCAGAGCTGGGGTTGAACACCTGAAGACTAGAGTGTGTCGTAGCTCTGCTACTCAGTAGCCATACCCCTTTCAGGAAGTCCTTTACCTCTTTAGATTAGTTTATTCACGTATCAAATGGGAATGGTAATTCCTCCTTTAAGGAGATGTTGAAGGTCAAATCAAATGAACTGGCATAGACACAAGCACTTCAGAGCCTGGTGGTGAAGGCTGAGGAAACCTTGGGGATGACAGTCCCCATCATTCCAGTAAAGGTGTGTGATGAAGTCATCCGACTCAGCCCTCGTCTCATCTACCAGAACCTGGCAAGCTCAGTATGTTCCTTATCTGAGTATGAAATTCAGATATGATCTGGACCCACCATATCTAATATGGAAAGAAGCAAAATTGCTGTGGTGCAACTGGGGGAAGGGAAAGGATCCAAGAGTCCTGACTTTGTAACCCTCTCAAACTCTGCAAGCTGGCCCCCAAGAAGCTCTATGGGACCCCAAGGGTTCCAGGCTCATAGTTTGAAAACCACTGCTCTGTGGTAAGAGGGAAGATGACTTGAGTGGATGCAGCTCTAGATCCCGTGTAGAAAGGGAGTCAGGAAGCGGAGAAAGTAGAAGTCCCGTAAACTTGTGTCACACTTGACACAGATAAATGAGGCCCTCTACTCAGGGCAGTGATTTGGGGAGCCCCTATTGGACAAGAATTGAGTGTAATGAAGGTTTGTCATATCTGCTTCTCAGAAAGGGAAAGGGGCTGACAAGGACATGGGAAAGTGGGACATGTGGGCTGGAGGCCTGACCCCTCGTAGCTGTTCCTGTCTGCCCAAGGGTCGGATCTGTGCCTACAGTTCTGTAGGGTAGAAATTATGCATATCAGGGTGTGTACTATACCTGGAGAAGGACTTTATTTTGTCACATGGGTATTTTGTGTTTGATTTTGCATATCTTATCTTATAAAACCTTATCTTGAAATAGTCAGAGTTTTTAAAGTCCAACTCAAGGTCTCTGTATCTATTCTTGAACTAGTAGTAAATTTACTAGTAGTAAATTTCTACTATTACTACAGAGGGTAACTTTTTCTAACTTAGAAATGAATTGGGGAAAAAAATTCCTTTCTAAACCTTTGTAGCTTGCAAGGAAGATTATCCCAGAGCCTGGCATTGACCATGACTTTCAAATTGTAGGTTCCAGGTAACTTCAGTTGACTCTTCTGTCAGCTGTGATGGGGCTGAGCTCCCTCGGTGACAGGAGGGGCCGGGGCAATTAAGGCCACCACGAAACCAGTGTGCCAAATCCAGCTCCTGCTGGATGAGCCCTTGTTTGCCTGTCCCAGGGTTCCTTTCCTAGCAGTGACCTTGGGTAGAACTGTGGAACATCTAGTTTAAGTGCATGGAGTGTTCAGTGTCAGTGGGAGAGTTAGCGGGTCAGCAGCAACCAGGAAGTCCCCAAGCATGTGGGTTCAGCACAAAGTCCACTTTCTTTACAACCAAATACCATCTCCTTTTGAGTTCATCTTTGTTCATGGTGCAAACCTCACCCAGACTCTTCTCCAGTCCCTCCCTCAAGGTGGAGCTCCTGGGATCCCCTATTGCCACATCCTTCATTATCATCTGTTTCATTTGCTTGTGGCTTTTCTTATTAGAATATTGATAACATAAGGAGGGCGTCTGAACCTTGGCAACAAGGAGTGGGGCTTGTACACCTCCGTCTCTGTCTGAGATCACATACCTTACCCGTCCGCTCTCTGTTAAACACACTGATGCCCTGTCACACCTGTTATGCTATCAATTCCCTTTATGACTCATGCCACCCAACATCCCTCCTTCCTCTTCATGTACCTTTCTGAGATTATCTCTCTATGAAAAGAAAGTAATCTCTGATGTTTTTTGCCTTTTTCTCTGAATCCCGTGCCACTGGTTAACTTTGTCAATTTTTCTATAGTGAATAACTTGAGCATACTAACTATTAATAAAGCTGGTCCAAGGTGATAAGAAGATACCTGGTGCCCAGATCCTTAATAATCCAGCCTTTCCTCTACCTTTCCTCTACTTGACTGTTTAGGGTGGAAATAGGGGAAAGCAGCAGAAGAGTTATAGAAGTCCATTTGGCATTTGAAGTCTAACTAAACAATCGGTAGGCTGTAAAATGTGTTTATGCTTTCTTCCTTCCATTAGCATTGTCAATAGCCTTAAAGGGTTGGGAAATTGAGTGCTCACAGGAGGATATAGTTAACTTCAGCACTTTTTCACAGTGAGAGATCGAGAGTGGAAATAAACCCGTTTACTTACTGCCAGCTGCAGAAGAGTAAGGGATCAGGGGTGAGGGGCAGCAGTGGGACTTTTCCCACAGTCTCTCATCTGGCCTCTTCTTCCCTGTCCCCATGACCTACTTCCCCATGCTCTACTGTCCCCTCACCATTCTCCGCATATGCCATTTGAGACGGGAAGTGGGGTGAGTGCACATAATGGCCTCTCAGTTCATGTGAGAGCTGGTTTCATCACTTCCTGTCTCAGGATGAGTTCCGAAAGGCTCTTCTGAGCCCAGCATCGTCCACACTCTCCATCGCCCCCTCAGCCCTCTTGCCTTCCTCTCCATTTAATAGAGAATAAGAAATTCCAACTAAAGCAGCTTTACCCAGAGCTTTTCTTCTTGTATCAAATAAGGCAGTTTTGTATTTTTTGTGCTGACATAGGAAAATTACCCTCTTTCAAAGGAATTTTGATATTTTCAGAGCAGAGACTTTGCCTCATTCCCTTCCAGCCTTTGCCTCATGTAAGAGAAGAAAAATGAACTTGGAAAGAGAAGGAGGGGTTGAAAACTCTGGGAATTTCCTTCAACCCAAGCAGAAATGGAATCGTAGACTTGTAATACTGAGAGGAAAAAGAAGGGGGAAACTCACAGTTGCAATGTGAAGGTCAGGTAAATCGTCTTATGATTCAGCCCAAGTGAGTCAAAGGGTTTCTTGTTCTTTCATGGCAAGATCCTTGAAGTGAAAAAATTACCAGAAGTGAAATGGACAAGTATGTGTGAGTAAAACTGCAATAAAAATGAAAAAATCAAAGTTGTCATTATGATCATGAAAACAAGTGGCATTTCTTTAACTCCTTCTGGTTGATAAAGCTTTTACACTTCTATTATCTAGTTTGAGCCCAACAGCCTTGAAAGCATTTAGATTGTTACTTAATATACCTTACAAATCAGAAGGTGACCTTGGACTTGTCCAGGGTTACAGAGCTAGTAGGGAAGTGCTAGACTTGATCCTGGGTCTTCTGACTCTAGGTAACTGACTCTTTCCTCTGCACCCTGCTGTCATTGCGTGATCAGAGTTGCTCCTGTGATCATTTTGCACCTGACACTATGCTGATATGCATTTTTTTTACCCCTTTTGGGATTTTGCTTATCAGAATTCATATCTTTAGCTTGTTTTTTTCCCCAAAAACTCTATTGCTAAGACATAGATCTTTCTGTCATACAGTAATTACGCTCAAATATATTTTGCCCCCTACTATTAAATTTTAAGCCACATTTTAAGTTGGAAATTGGTAAACTGAGGAAGGTAGAAAGCCTCAGTCTGTCTATGTAATTCTTAAACTTTCTGCGTAGGACGGCCTCTTGATGTCAGAGCTTTTTGAGTATTCCCTCATTATAGTCTCTACGGACTGAGAAAATATATAGGTTGGGAATTCCTTGTAATAACTCTAGGTTGGGATCCACCAGTCTGTTGATGTGGTAAATTAGGTCTGATGTGTCTGGAGGGGGATGTTCTGGGGAAATTTCTAGAGTATTTCTCAATACCATCAGACATGGGCATCCTGATTCTGCCTCTTTGTAAGGGAGCTAAAAGATAAGTTCTCATTTTCCAGCTAAAGGCTATCCTCCAACCCCCACCCCCAATATCATAGTGAAACAACTACTTTATTTTCAAAACCTTTATTAATATTAACCCCTGATTAATAGTTAATTGACTTAAACTGGAGGAAGAATTTCATTGAGATATTGAATCAGATTCGGTGGCAAGTGGAAACCTCA